ACTCGAAACGGAAGTAAGCTCAACAATTATGACACAAGCGATTGCTCGAATCTTACCTGTTTTTACCATAATAATCAAGATAACATAGAAGTTTACTTGACTCTTTTGATCTTTCGTTAACATCTCACCATCAACTAAATCACAATTTAAAACCGGCTCGTGCAAATTGTGGGTACACTGGGTCATAGGGTAAAAGTAACTTTTGTGCTAAGCCAGGCCCTTAGAGGATCGCATTCTTAATGGGATCATAGATGAGGTAAACTTGTATTTGCAATTTCATTGGATGACTGTACCTACTTTTGAGACTATCATTCATTTTAAAATAAGGAATTTGGTTACCCTAGGTCTGTTAATATGAGGTAGATTCTGATAGTGGAGTTTTCCCAAAACTGACCTAAGCAGTCTAGGCGATTAATAGCTACTTAATATGCCACAACAAAATATCCACTCAAAGAAGGCTTTAGTCGAAATCACAAAACTATGGCCAATTTTCCCAGGATTCGACTAACAAGTTCATCACTACTCTCCAGTCTGTATTTTGCTTAAGACTCGTAGACTAGCTAACGAGTCTCTATTCTTTGCCTGATAATCTTCTTCGGAGTGAAATATCTTTTTGTTAATCTTGTTAAGAAGTTTTTCGCTAGCGAATACTATCTTCGAGACTAACTTTAAATATACATTTAATTTGAGTTTAATCCCTGATAATTTCTGAGGAATTCCTCTTTCCTCTATGTACTTGGATCAACATTGTGACCAACACATACGTGAGATGTATCGGTCTCCTGACCAACTGATAGCTGTGGTGTGGTTTGGTGAACCATCCAATCTGGCGATGAAAGAATTATCTTTCTGACGCTCTCTGTCGAAGTCCAGTCGAGTTCTCAAGTCGCTTGGCTCCAGAGCATTAACTATGCGGCTTCCGTTTTCAACAGACGTCAGCATCTTCTTCGCCATGTTGCCCCTCTTGTCACCACTGGCCGGAGCTTTTCTCGTCTCCTCCTCGCTCCCCATGCCGTGCTGGCCTGTCGAGGATTTCTGTATACCAGCCCCATCGCCAACTCTGTCACCGGGCGCACCAACCTCGGGCCAACTGGAACCGTCAATGTCCCGATCAACTCCCGCCTTCCCGCCAGATTGGCTTTCTTCGGTTGGGCTTGAGTCCTGTCTCGATTTGGTTTGAGTGGAGGGCGCGCGAATTGAGCCATTCAGCTGTACCAGGTCGTGCGCAGGAGTCGGTACAGCAGGAGCGGCGGTATGCACCGACGAGGGTTCAGTACGTCTTGCCGCCTCGATGGTGAGTCTTTTGGAGGCATGGCCCATGAAGGTGCAGAACCAGTCGCCGGAAACTTGGATTTGCTTCCAATCGACGGTGTACGCGACACTGGCGTGGCTTTCACTCAATTGTTCGTATTTGCAGTCAACTACTGCAGCCAGATGAAACTCATCACAGAGAGGTGCGCCTGGTAGGAAAATGTAAAATAAAGTTGCCAAAGACCCATTCATTAGAGAAGTTTTTTTTGGATAAATTCTCATCTAACCACTTATGCGTAGATGACAAATAAAACGTTTGATGTTTATCTCTATATGTCTATTGTGCGTACTCTATAGCCGATCTTGTTTTGGTGACTTAGTACTAACTCGAATATTTAGTAAGAATGAGTTTTAGCAGTGACCATGTCTACCGAATAAAGAATAAAATCGAACCCCTTTTTTCCTTGAACCGAAGGAGGATGTCTCCCAGACGGAGTACGATGGGATTTACCCATCGCGCTATGTTGAGGTTGACCTACAAATCTATCTTTCATGCTCATTCACAAGAAATGAATTTACCACATCAAAGGGAGTTTCACAATTTCCTTAATTTTTTTTCGCAATTGAAGGAGTCAAACTATTATGGAAAACCCCGACAGGCGAATGAATCTATAAAATTTGTGAAGACCAATATGATCTCATTTGATAAGACTTAATAATGAAATAAAACAAAAACAAAAATTTTACTTTTAGAAATATTTACTCAAAATTAATACTACTTCAGAACAATGGAAAATAATTTTGATCATGTTTAAAGTTCCTTTTGGTTGAGGTTTTGGGTGAAGTCTGACTCTTAGATAATCTAAATTTGTAAGGTGTGCACCCTAATTCGTTTAAGGTGAATACATTCTGGGTAGCAAGGCTATATGAAATTCACACGGATATCAATGTAAGAAAATTCAACTACCAATTCTTCATCACCTTAAATAAAATAGGCAGAGCACATTTCATATATATTATTTACTGGTAGTCTAGAAAGCCTACTTTAAATCTAAAACTTTTTAATCATTCTTGATCTTTGAATCTCTCTGGAGGTGTTGATAAGACTAGTTCAGGCGAGGTATAAACTGTAGTCCACTTTGGATGAGATACTTTTTGAAAAATAAGGCTTTGTGAAATTCACTGTAAACATAAGGCTTACTCATAAGATGTGGGAAATTTTATCTACATGTTCTTTACCATATTAAAATGTTTGGAAGGCCCATATTTACAGTGGGAAAGTGTGGCTGATAAAGAATTATCTCATCAAAAGACGACGTTTGATCCATCTCTGATGAAAAGTCATCTGATTATACCTATATGTTCAGGAGAATACAAACAAGGAAACAACCCAAATTTGTCCCGGCTGTCCGTTCTATGAACCCCCAACACAAAGATTTGATCATATTGTTACTAATACCTCAAGATAGCGCTTTATCTTATATCTTAATTATATACACTGTTTAGAAATATGCAATCCTAATAACGTCATCCCTTGGTTTATTAAACTACTATGGGCTTGGATCAAAAATCATGTTTGGAGTAATAGTCAGTGAGGTATAGTTGTTTTTAGGGGATTCTCTTGATTTATAATTGCTGAGCGTATTCCCATTTTAAGGAGCAATTTTTCGTGCAATTATTTTATGCGAAAAGGCAATAGAAATCACCTGTTTCTCCCTTCTTGAGGCGCGCATACTCAAGACCTGTGCATTTTGTGAGTCAGAGTGATTTGGTTAGTTCATATAATATGCGAGTGTATGCATGTACGTGGGTTACCTTCTTTTTATACTCGAGTCAATAAATTCTCTATTCTTAATTTAGTTTTTACTTATCTTTAGGATGTACTAATGACATTTAATAAATTCAATTTTCTGTTGGCCTCTATAGCCTCCCTAATTTTGCGCTTAGCGGCATACATATCAAAACAGCTTATTTCCAGTTTTATAAAATTCACTGGAAGCATGTGGCCTACTTTTAAGATTCTGAGGAAATTCATCCATTAGTTCTTACTCATTTCAAACGAAATAGAGTAAGTAAAGCTCATAGACAAATAAATAAAGTTTTGTGGTTTTTATGAAAACCATTTGCATTCCCAATTTCCCCATCATTTCCCCATCAGTATGCCTCTTCTTCTGTATACGCTGCAAGAATTCAAAGTCACTTTCACAATTCTTTTCAAATAGTCTCATCTTAATACTTTATCCCCACTATTATAAAATAATATTTGTGTAAGAGTATTTAGCCTATTACATCAATTGTCTCTTTCCTTTAAGCTCACATTCTATATTAAGATTACAACCTTGATTTTGAAACTGTGGTTGGAAAGAAACATAATTATAATGCCAGCATATACTGGTTTTCTAATTACATCTTTGCTTTGTTGATTTTTGCCATGTGATAGAAGAAATCTCAGCCATTTGTCACCACAGTCAATGAAGAAGCTCTCAAAGACAGTGCCAAGCAGAGCATTAAAGGAAAACCAAAACGACACTTCCGCCGTCGACTACTTTTGAGATTGATATTTAAGACACTTTCTTGCACACATTTTCGTTTAAGAGGGAAATAAGCCTAAAACTATTATAATTTCTCGTAAATATGATCCGCACTTTCCTAACCTCATTCACATGCGTATTCAGGCTCACTTATGCTAACACATTATCTAGCACTCATAATATAATATAAAAATTTACTAAATTATTCATTATATATTTACATATAAATTATTTTTTCAGCTTTCTTCAAGTTGTAGGTTGATAAAACTTGTAGGTTAGATCCGGTAAATCTTTGTGACTTTGTACTAACATGAAGTTTTTCTAAGAGATCTATATTTTACAATTTATAAAAGGACAGAACAAAGGGCATCATTTTTCATCTGAATTAAAGGAAAACTTTATAAATTATTAAAATTAGTGATTTTTTAGAAAGCTTTTATGTAATGTCAATGTTCACTTATACACTGATGAGTTAGAAACATGGACGTTAGAGATATCGTTGTATATCAGCTCCCGGAGAATATGGTGGAAGAAAGTTAAATAAATTAAACACTAATGGAAGAAGTCTATATATGAAACATTCCTTATTTAATTTTATTAGTAGGCTCTATGTAGTAGCATTAGATTTTATATGTATAACTCTCAAATGCAGGTTTTTATTCTGAAGTAAATTCTAATAAGAAGGGTACGTATAGCATAAATGCATAAATGGTACAGATAATAAAACATTGAAATAAAATCGAGCTGGATCGAATTAAAAAATCTTTCGCAAATTAAGAAATATGACCGATGAAGGCAGCTATTCAGGGAAGGCTATGAAGTTAGTCTACAGCCATCATGTCAGCCTCGAAAAGTCAGCTGAAATACTCATAATGTGAAGCAATTTATCCAAGTTGAGAGAAAAAGAAAAACAGAAAAGGGCGAAACTTTTCTTTCTTACTACCTCCTAAAAGGAGCTAAGGATCCTGCATACAGATCTATCTATTGCATCTTTTCCTGTTCGTCTTGTCAGGTCCATAAGACCTGAATTCTTTTGATACATAAACTAGAGGACATGTGAAACCAAACTCGCCTCAATTAGCGCTGCTGCTCCATAATTCAGAAATGCTTGAGTCTCTTTACAAATAAAAAGTTTCGCAGAGAGAATAGAGAGTAAATTAGACTTAACAAAATCATTAATCTCCTGAATAACAGAAACAAGGTTGGGAAACTGACTAGTATCTATATCTAACGGTTGGATGAAAGTAGGGAGAGGAGTAAGACGAGGAGGCATAAATGACGAGGAGACTAGTTTGGGAGTTAACATCTCAGGACATAAACACAACACACGACAGAAACTCAATCACTCTCCAGAAGACCTGTCACTGCCGCAAGATTAAACTATGGATAGTTGTGAAAAAAAGAAAGATTTCCACCTGCTTCAAGCATCTAATAAACTACTCTGCAAGCTTTCTAGGCAAACCATGTACTAGCGACAAACAAAGCAAAATCAAAGGTACGAAGTATATTTATCCTATTTTGGTTAAGGCGATAAGGAGACGTGTAGTTGAATTTTTCCCTCGATGATATGAGTAGACCCTACATTTCCATTGCAATTCACATAGACCTAAGCGAAGTTGGAACTTTAGTAAATCCTGGTTGAAAACACCTTTTGGGAAAGTAAGGCTACATGAAATTCAATGGAAATGTGAGGTCAACTCATATCATCGAGGGGAAAATGTAACTCCCAGTTGTGTTATCGCCTTAAACGAAATAGGGTGAATACACTTCATATAGAAACGATCTACTGGTGGTCTCAGC